GAGCAGGCGTGGCTGGCATCGGAAAGGATTTGGCTTTTGCACCGTGGGGGTTTCACACCAGCCTCGAGATGCGGATCCGCCGATCCCGACACCGGCAAGTTGCGCATCAGGCTCTTCAATTCTGGCGAGGAACTGCTAGTCGACGAAGAAGATGTCGAGAAGGTGGGTGGACTTTTTATTATTTTCATCGACCGACTCGCCGATGTCTGACGAAATTTAAGTATGGGAACACAAAGCCCTACATAAGATTAGAATTATTGGCTTCGTTTGTTTGGCGATTTGAAGGAACGACGTCCGCGTTAAAAATATTCGATACAACGTATCGGACGCGTAATATAGAATATTTCAAAGTTTTTATGTACCGATGTATGTACGCGTGGGCGGGCCTCCGAGGTGAAGAGAGTGCCATGAGTTTATATACACAGGCAATTTACTTGAATTTAAAGCATTTTTATATGGATTATCCTTAATGTAGATATAAATTTTGACCTTTTGACTATACGAAATACCAAGATAATAACGAAATTGATATAAAAATTGAATCGATGTGAAATTTCCACAGGCAAATCCACCGCAATTCGACAGAGCGGAGGACCTGTCGCAGCTGCGATTCCTCAACGAGTCATCGGTGTTGCATACATTGAGACAGCGCTATGCCAGTAATCTTATTCATACATACGCTGGCGACAGTATGATCGTCATCAATCCGGCTGCGCCTTTTGCCATTTACTCGGAGAAGGTGAGACAGGCGCTTAGTGATACGATTTTCCATAAAGGATTAATAATAATAAAGCATCTGTCCATTCGACTCACGGCTTGCGGCTCGCGGCTCTCAAAGCGTTCTCCGAGATATTATTAAGTCATTTTCGTGGCGTCCTTAATAATTATAATTAGTCGAATTATGGTCCAATTGTGTCAATTGCATTCATAATTCTGGCTTTAAGGTCCATGAGCATGTATTACGAAATAATAACTTCTTTTTTTTCTTTTTTTTTAATTTCATAATAACAATATCGACACACGTAATGAGCCAATAAGTTATGAAATCTCTCAGAGTTTTTCTTAATCGTTAATTGTGCATTTTACTCTGTCTGTTCTAATAGATTATTAAAGTGTGTTTAATGGCGGTGCAGTGTAACTAAATCTACGAGTTGTAATGATTATTGAAACGATAATGTTAAGCTATCCGTCACTAATATACATATTAAGTGATTTTTGTTATTTGAAAATTTCCAATAAAATGATTCTGCGCATCAAAATCGAGTCGCTCAGGCATTCTTCAATTTTCACAATTTTCATAAAGAACAATAATGATAATGATAATGATAATAATAATAATAATAATAATAATAATAATAATAATAATAATAATAGAAACTTTTATAAATGACGCAATTTACTCGTGTGTCTATTCAATAACTGAAATTTAAGCATGAAAATGCAGCCGTGCTTGTTGCTTAGGCTATTTTTTTATTAAGTTGAACTCGTTATACTTCATAAAAATGTTGTTGACTGAACCACTTTCGATATCTCGATTTTGTTTCGCTTGATTTTGACTTATCGCAATGGGAAATTGCTATAATCAACTTACAAAACTTTATTTCTTATTACCATTATATCCACCTGCCCTGCTCCTAGCCGGATAATCCACTCTGTCGATCGACAAGACTAAAGCACGGGACTTTCTCTTCTCAGGTGATGCAGATGTTTAAGGGATGCAAGAGCGAGGACATGCCACCGCACATCTACGCAATGGCGCAATCTGCCTACAGGGGAATGCTAGCCAGTCGCAGGGATCACTCTCTTGTCTTTCTAGGGCGTAGCGGTAGTGGAAAAACCACGAATTTCAAGCACGCGTTACATTATCTTGTACTCGCTGCCGGCACCGTTAACAAGATCCTCACCATCGAGAAACTCAATGCCCTCTTCACAGTCCTTGAGGCCTTCGGCAACAGTCGCACCCACATGAATATGAATGCTACGCGATTCACGCAGCTCTTTAGCTTGGACTTTGATCAATCCGGACAGATTGCCTCGGCATCTCTACAGGTATATATGCCATTGACGGCGGTGTTCCATTTTACTGGTTGGCGATATCGAGTTTACGTTATACGTTTATGCAAATTGTTGTTAATGCTTGTTGCGTGTATAATGAGCCCCTTGATATCTGTGTTGGATTTGAAGAATTTCAGATTATTTATGTAAATATGACGCTTTTATAGGTATGTGAAAACCTTTGAAACTTCAACGTTATTCAATGACGTGAAAACGATTAACTTCAAACTAGGAATTGAAACTTTCTGACTATTCGATGCTGTAAATAACTGTCTTTATGGATTTCAAGTCAATACGCGATAAACATATTCGAATGCTATAAGGTTAAAAAGCATCCGGTACAATTTATTTTACAAATGTAATTTTAGGTTAGCCAATGAGAACAGGATTATGTTTGTGGCTTATATTCAGCGGTCATTGCAATCTATTATATTTCATTAAATTATGAAGTATTTAACTACTAAAATATACGATTGTTTAATAACTTTTCATTTGTAATTATTCACAATATTGTGATATTACGGTGAATTTGAAAACTATGTTTGTGCGCTGTATGATAATAATATTAATTGTCATTTAATAAGTTTATTCCATAATTTTTAACTAATTTAATTGTTAGGCTTTATTTTTATATAATGAAATATATGCCATGGGACATGAATTAACACAGTCTTTATTAAATACATGCATTTATTTATAATTATTTAAAATTAACAATTGCTTTAACCAATTATAAATTAAACTTGTTATAATATTTTAAAATTTATAAATTATCTAAAAATTAATTTTAATTTTCAATTTTATGTAATTATAAACGCAAATTACATTAACGATCTGAAAAACTTGTACAAAAAAACTTGTAAAAAAAACGATTGAAACGACATTTGCACCGTAAATGTAATGCCGGTAAAACAGAGATCTTTTTTTAATATAGAAAATTCTTTGTTCTAGGTTATTCAATCATTAAATGATTTTCATTCAGTTTAATATAAATTTAATTTAATACAAATCTTCATCGTAATTTTAATTCTTTTTACAACTAGTATTTTTTTAACATTAATTTATTTCTCCTTCGAATAAATTTCTCACGCAGTTACGGATAATTAAATTAATTTTTATTGCAAAACCCTTTCAGAAAACATAAATATTGCACATAAATTCTATGAATAATATGAAAAATATGAAATGCATAAGGAAACTTTGAAGACGGTAATTTAAAGATTGCAGTTACTAAATTTTATAGTTAAATTTCATAGAAAAGTAGTTAGCAAATAGTTGCACTACTAGTTATTAAAATTAATTAAATCGTAGTATATATATTTTGTCGATTTATGTGTAAAAATATATGAACTCATACAAACTGTTATTATTTCAAGTTAATATTCAAATAATTTTCTTTAAAATTTGAAAAAATATTATACCCATATATTATGGAATAAAAGATTTCTCCGTGCAATAAATAAGAAAATTTTCTCCTCATAAAAATACAATAATCTTAATGCCTAAAAATTATCATAATCGAGTTTAATAATCAAGAACCCTTAATCGAAATAATTTAGTCATAGCATGTGAATCGTTTGAATTCTTATATGCCAATATGACATTTTGACACCAGGTCCTGCTGTTGGAGAAGTCCCGAGTTGGCCGACGCTCTAGCGGTGACCCGAGTTTCCACGCGATTTATCGTCTGCTTGCCGGCGCCGAAGGCACTCTCCGCAAGGAACTCCATCTGACGAATCTCGTCGCCGAGAACAATCCATTCATCACCCCATTGCAAAAGCACGAGGACAAACAACGCGCGCAGGTTGAGTTCAATCGCATTGTCGCAGCATTCCGCATCCTCGGTGTCACCGAGGCTGAGGAGAAGGCCATTTGGATCGTTCTGGCGGGTATCTACCATCTGAGCTGCGCGGGTGCCGTGAAGGCTGGTACGAGCTCCCAGAGTCGCTGGCAATTCGCTCGAGTCGAGTGCGCCGAGAAAGCAGCAACGCTTCTCGGGACAAGCGTCGAGGAGCTCAGTCGACTCGTTTTCTCAGCGAATGGTGCAGTCGTTGGGACGCCCAGCACGCCCAGGCCCGCCCTTAGGACACCCAGTCCAACCGACCAAAGCAAGGACCTCACCGGTCTTGACGCACTTGAGGGTTTGCTCGTGGGATTATACTCGGAGGTTTTTCATTGTATAGCTGCTCTAGTCAACAAGTGATTCTGCCTTTTTTCTTAATTAACATTCAATTTTTTTCTTCTATCTATTATTATTATTATTTTATTATCTTATTTATTATCTTTATTATCGTTATTATCTTATTTTTTTTTTATCGAAATATGAACGTGTAGGAATAGTTATATATTACAGCAAAGGCTTTTACGTATTTAAATAAGAGCTTAAGTAAATTGTGATTTAAGTAAATTTTATAATTTCGATTTTAGGTAAGTTTATCGATATTACATGAAATAATTAATTTATAAAAAAAAATCAACTTCTCTTTGCAATGGAAATTATCGAGTATTTGGAAGAATTTTTTCAATTCTATTAAATAATATTTTTATATGATCTTGAATATTATTAACGACGGTTTAAAACTGTATATTTTGCTTATAGTTGTAGGGGCATG